GAGCTGCGGAAAGAAAATGGGAACACACTAACAGAGTCGAAGATCGAATTAAATATAATAAAGCAGCAGCACAAGCAAAAAAACTGTTCAGGAGAAAAAAAAAAGAACACTTTCGTGAATTTGCCAAAAGTGTAGACAGCAGAACCAGTCCAACATATGTTTCAAACATATGCAAAATCCTGAAAAATAAATGGGTTAAAGTCACTCATAACAACATGACAGAAAACCTCCAGTGGCCCATCCACATTGATTCAGCAATCAGCAAAATCAGTCCAGCATTCGTCCCCACCAAACCTGACTATCTCCCAGATTGTCAGGAAAACGAATTCCTCTCCTCCAGGTTCGTCTTTACGGAGTTCAACTACGCACTGACATCAAGAAAAACACACTGTTCGCCAGGTATGGATGGGATTCACTACGGCATCTTGAAAAAACTACCTGTCAAATACCACCTGATCCTGCTAGACATTTTCAATAATTTGTTCTTGACAGAGGTTTACCCCGAAGAATGGACTCATCACTTCGTTCACTTCATTCCAAAGGCAGGAGGAACAGACGTACGACCAATATCCTTAGCTTCGTGCACTGCGAAACTCTTCGAGAGCATCATCAAAAACAGATTAGACTGGTGGGTGGAGCACAACGAAAATATAAATAATAGTCAAACAGGATTTCGGAAAGGAATATCATGCCATAACAACCTGGCTAATTTAACCTACACAGTAAATGAAGCACTGGCACATCAACAGCATGCGCTGGCAGCATTCTTGGATGTGAGAGGCGCGTTTGATAATGTCAATCCGCAAATACTTCTGGACAAGCTAGCAGACATCGGGTGCCCTCAGAGAGTGACAAAATTTACTCGGTTTCTTACATACCAACGTTCTATACAGACTATGAAACAGGAAGCAAATCCACGGATGGTGTTCAAGGGAGTCCCACAAGGAGTATTGAGTCCACTGTTACATTCGCTATATGTCCCCGAAATCACCAGTAAACTCTCGAAAAAGGTTCGGACATCCCAATTCGCCGACGACATAGCCATTTATACTCATAACTCAGACTTGGACTACTGTGAATCTATACTTACTGGGGCAATCCGTCAAATACAAATAAAATTAAAACATCTGGGTCTAGAACTCGCACCAAACAAAACCAAGCTATTACACTTCAATAATCGAAAAATAACACCAGGACACTCTGAAATCACAGTTGAGGGACACACCATACGCTCTGAAGAGACTGTCAGGTTTCTAGGTATCTGGTTGGACTGGAGACTTGCCTTTGATCATCAAATAGAACGAATCCGACAAAGATGCCTCAAGTCCTTAAATATGGTTAAATACCTGAGAGGTACCTGGTGGGGAAGTGATCCTCGTACTCTGCTGTTACTGTATAAACGCTACGTGAGATCCGTTATGGATTACGGAATATTCATCTATTACCCGAATCAATCAGAACTCAAGAAGAAACTGGAAAGAATACAATACGAAGCAATCAGAGCAGCAATGGGATATAGGAAAACTACCCCTACCAATGTTCTACTGGGAGAATCAAAACTATCTCTCATTGAGGAAAGAGCAAAATTTCTATGTAGAAATTTTATTACCAAAACAGTAATAAATACTTCCTTACAATTCAACGACACTGTCAATAACCTCTGTCTGACTGGTCAACGCAGTAAGGCCAAAAAACACAAGAGGCTGCTACACTGGGGAATCTCAGAGACTATACTGATCGAACCTAATCTATACATTTACAGACTCAAATACTGGGACGTGATGACGGCCACCGAGGTAGATCTGGAGACAGGAAAAAATAAGAGAGACGATCAAGACAAACCGAACATCCAGAATATAATAGATAGTGAAAATGACGACACATACTGCATATACACCGACGGAAGTAAGGTCTTGGGAAACACATTCACTGGTGCAGCCTGTTACTGTCCGAGACTTCACCTCGAAATCATTCGAAGCCTAAACCCACAGAGCTCAGTTTATTCTGCAGAATGCTTAGCCATCTACGCCGCCATGAATGTAGCTCTAGAACACCCGAACAAAAATTTCTTCATTCTATCTGACTCCATGAGTGCTCTCCAGGCTCTTCAGCACCCGAAAATGTCCATCAAAGAAAATGATCACCTCCTGCAAGTCAGAATTAAATATAATAAATTCCTAATTACAAATGACCATAAAAAATTCATCAAATTCATTTGGGTTCCCTCTCACTCCGGATATGAGGGAAACGAATACGTCGACAGACTTGCGAAACAAGGAACTGCTGCACAGGACATGGACATTAGAAGAATCCCCTTCACCGATTACTCTGAGCTCTACAAGAAAGAAATGAAACTTAAAACCATTGAACAGATAACGGAAATGGCCACTTCCCAAATGCTAAAAAGAAAAGGGGTCGAATATTTCGAACAATACTTCACCAAAAGTGTCAAACCATGGTTCGACAAATTCCCAGACCTCTCAAGAGAAGAAATCGTTTGGGTGAACCGAGCAAGAGCCCATCACTACAATTTGAACAGCTCCTTAGCTCGGGTTCACATCATTCCACCAACATCATGCCCCTGCGGTCATCTAGAACAAAACCTAGACCACATTTTATGGGATTGCACCAAGTACAATGAAGAACGCAAAATACTCTTCAATGTTCTCAAAAAATTCAACACCAGACCACCGGAAATCCAAAAGATCCTGAAAACATCCTCGAGGAAACACATCAGAGACATTACAAAATTTCTTAAGAAATGTGAACTACAGATTTAAAACTAAGAGTCATAATAACAGCAACAATGTCTAGATAGCTACAACCGAAACCACACAATCTGCGATAATTGAAGGCTGTTATCAGTCGCTCCTTTTTTTTTTCTTTTGTATTTTTCTTATCCATGTCAGCTGAATGAGCCCGAAAATGGGTTCCAAAGCTTTAATAAAAAAAATAAATAAAAAAAAATAACAAATGGGTTCCAATGCCTAAAATCAATTAAAAATTGCTTAGTTAACGTTCCGTGATCATATTCTATTGATTGAAAAAAGAATTACGCATTAGTACGCGAGTGGTCGGTACATGTCTGAAAATCGGGGGTGTCCCGCAGCTCTATTATTGCAAAACCTTTACAACACCGGTTATACAACGTTTTCAAAGATCAAAATGATTTAGAATCTCGTGAGTTATTATATCATACTCAAGTCAGGTATTGAATTTTTTCGATGCGTTCTCGTTTTCGTGCATTATCGGTATCATGCAATATCGGCGGAGAGAAGGGAAATGGTAAGTTAATGATGGACTTTGTTATGAAAAACGAAAAAAAAAAGGTTTTTTGCAAGCCCTTATTTGCGAGTTCCGATTGCATAATTCTCAATCGACATTTAAGGTCACAAAAATAATAGCTTGTCCTCTATTTCGCAGCGAAAAATTGTGACAATTTTTGAAGAAGAAAATTGATCACTCAAATTGTCTATAACAAACTTTCGAAGTTGAAGGGGAAAGACTATTTTATGAGGGTTTATTTCGGATGACGGTATTATTTGAATAGTTGAAGTTTACCCGTTAATTCCCGCGTTCCACTTTCATCTTAGTGCTAAAAATGACTGAATGATAAATAAAATTGGAACAAATGAAAAAGGTTTAGCTTGATAAAAATTTTGAATTTCCCCACTCGCCACGTGAGGCGCTCCTCATCCCCACTGCACTCACTCTGCTACCCCCACTGGACTCACTCCACTACCCCCACTATGCTCGTACTAGGACCCCTGTAATTGGAAGAGTTGTAAAACTTTATAACGCTCCTAATTGATTTATGGCAGGAGCTCCGAGCTACCCGTCAGTTGCCCATCCCTGGTCTAGAAGCCCTATTAATGAAAATATCCGTCAAAAATGTCATAAGTAGTTGGATTTTCAAATTTTTATTCCAAAACTCCGGGCCGTGTACCGTGTATAAGGCGAATTTTCAGAAAAACTTGGCGACTTTGAGCTTGAATATATAATTAACGGTAACACTGAACATAAGGGAGATGCGGGACACCCTCGATTTTCAGACATGTACCGTGGTCTGTACATGTCTCGCGTTCTAATGCGCAATTCTTGTTCTAAACAATAAAATATGATTACTGAATGTCAAGTAAACAATTTTCGATCAATTTTACGCATTGGAATTATTTATTATTAACAATTAAATTGTTCAAAACATCCTAGCAACAAAACTATGAAGAATAGACGAAATTTTTTGAATCATGGATCATCTAGAATTTAATAAGAAATAATTTTTATCTGTTATTAATTTTACGTATCTCTCGAGGATTCCGAGATATGAGAAATAAATTAAGTTGCGCAACTCTTTCATTACTCATATCTCGAAATCTAAAAGAGATATGTAAAATTGACAAAAGATAAAAATTATTCTTTATCAAATTCTAAATGATTTGTGATCTGAAAATTTTCGTATATCTTTCATAGTTTGTGTGCTAGGGCCATTTGAACAATTAAATTGTTGATAATAAATAGTTGCAATACCTAAAATCAATCGGAAATTGTTTACTTAATATTCCGTGACCATATTTCTTTATTCAAAAAAAGCATTACGCATTAGAACACGAGTGATCGTCGGTCAATTTAGAAGGGTTTTTTTGTATAAAAAATCTCACGGGTCTTCTTCAGGTATACGATCTAGATCACTCTTGATTTTTTTCAGATTTTCCCTAGATCTTTCAAATTTATCATTATGTCGATTTATGCTGGTGCGGCATGGCGCTTACGGTGCGACCAACGGAGTGTTAAATATTCTATAAAATAAGAAAGATGATTTTCAATTTTGGATTTCTTTTATGTAAGTCTTGAAAATTAGAGAAGATATTGGAATTTTGTCAGAAGTACATTTCAAAACATATTTCTACGAAAGTGAGCCCAAATCCTTAGATTCGAGGATGTCCATCAAAAACACATCCTCTTCAATGCTTCCATTGTTCAGAAATATTTTCTTTCCATAGATGGTCAATTACGTTTATATTAAAGGACGAAGAGCGAACGAGAACTAAAGACTTTCCATTCTTCGGCTACACCCTAGCTGGAGCATCTGTAGTAGATCAATACAGATGGCTGGCTGCAATGTTGTTTGGTGAACATCAGATGGATCTTTTTCCATCAGCAGTCAACTTAATGGATCCCTAATTTTCCATTCCTCTATCGTTAACGTAATTCTTATACCTCATAAGTGAATTTATTACCACTTATTTTATTAGAAGTTTTCTATAGTATATTATATACATATATGTATATTTTTACAATGCAATTATTTTTCTTGCCTGGAGAGTAGTGTTTTTCACATATTTAAATTCTGTATAGATTCCATACAGAGCTCAATTGAAGTTCTATGAGAACGCCAAAGAATGTTTTTTTATCGAAAAAGGTTATCTGTGATTGGCTGAGGGATCTAAATACGTCACAAGTATTACATTGAATTTTAGCTTGATAAAAATGTAAAACAATGAATGTTAGAGATTCATATTTTAATTGATTGAATGATGTGATCGTCAAATTTAATATAAAAAGAAATTACAAGACAAAAATTATTTACTTAATATTAAACCAATGATTCCTTATCAGAGAAATTAAGGATCTATGCAGAAAGTAACAAGTATTGAATGCAAAAAATGTTAGCTCACAAAATGGCCTCGAAAGGGAGCAACATCGCTTTTACGATCGCCATTTTATATCCATTCATCTTTCTTAGGACTCTATGAATAAATAGGAAGAAAAATTTATTGCCAATTTCTGGTCAATTTATACTGAGAATATTTTGAATTCTCAGTATTTTAATAAGAATTTTTTTTACTGCTCTCACTAATCGCGGATAAAGGTCTCTCGACATTTCAACTTGAATCATTCATTACAGGAATCATTTAAAAATCAATGCATCTAACAAACTCAATCGGCTTCACCCATCAATTTACAAATCACCCTGAGCGCATTTATACCTTTAATATCTAAAATACTGAGCTCACATAGTCATTAAATTAATCCTTGAGTGGATCGTGTCATCGATTGTGTAAGTTTGGATTGTAAATTGGTCTAGAGTCAAGAACACTTGGATTACTTGTTCTCACTTTAATGTACTTTGGCCTCTTATCTCGGGTGCTCCAGTGAAGGTACAAATACCATCCAGCAATGATTGTCCCCAGTCCATTGCAGCAGGCTGATAGGATTAACAGAATTGTTAGAATACCTTCGACCTCAGGACAGTTGAGATCTACGTATTTCAGAACAGGTTCTGCGGGACTAGCAATTTCACTTTTTGGTCGGCAGGCACACGTGGCATTTCTCACTCGTGCTGGGGTGCACTCAAGACCACTGAGTTTTGCCAGGTGAATAATTGCAGCACTACAGGCAAGTAAACAGGCTAATGTCGCTAATATTGATAAGAAAACACTAATAGTCTTGGTTGCCGAGAGGCAGAATCCTGGACTCATTCCAGGGTATTCTTTCTTGAAACAGCAGAGGAGGCATATTCCAAAGCCCCCTGAGAGTAATAACTGAAATGGAATATACAGGTCATTAATGATTTTCTTGTACAGTGGTGAGAGGGGAGGTAAAAAAATTCCCTTAATATTCGGTAAATGTCCATGAAACTAGTAGATCTTTTTATATAAAAACGGCTTCTTAATGAATTTCTGTGAATCTTTTTGCCTTCAAGCTATTTGGAGCCGTTCCGTTTTAGCATGTTGGCATGTTTTTCTTTTCAATGTAAACTACAAGTTTGTGGTATTCAAATTGTGCGGGAGGGAATTCGAACTCACTGGCATTCCACTCCAATGTGGGTTGTCGCTTAGAGGTAGGTTTGGTGACCATAGAAGTAACCAGAGGGCTAAGGAGGTCACAGCAATACCCAAAATAGTCTGCACTGCTGCCAGGGTTCTAGCTAATTTTCTATGCCTGAGGAGAGGTGGTCTTGACTTCCTTACTGCTGTAACAAATAGAAGAAACAAGTGGGAAACTGCTCTTGTATTGTATATAGTATAGTTATTTTTGCTACTAAATTCAAACAATCATAAAAATCAAATCAACCAATATAGCTATCGTAATCATTTTTCAACTTCGAGTTGATGGCATTAAAACAAACATTTTAAGCTATGATTGAATTCATTTGAAGCATAATATTCAAAGATATCCCCGGAAATCTGATTTTCAAACAATACAAATTTTTTGAAAATTTTCGAATAAATCAAAATAACGATTATTGCTATCCTCTCCATCTTCGAATTCGTTCAAAGGCACATCCAAACAATTTTTTAAGCCATCATTCAATCAATTTAATACATTTTTTTAGTTATCGTGGGCCAACCGATTTTCGAAAAAATTCAAAAATTAAAAAAACTAATCGATGAATCAAATTTTAATTAATGGCGATCAATAGGGCTCAACAAAACCTACATTTGAAGAAAAAAAAGATTCAATTCCATCCATTCATTAGTGAACAATTAAAAAAAACTTTACCACACACATACGTACGGACACAGTTTAAAAATTGTATTTTCGGACTTTTTGGATCATAATGAGTCGATATAACAGAAAAAATTCAAAACTTAAATTTGAACGATTATAATCCTTCCATTCGGAAGTAAAAACAAATTATTTACATCAATGGACAATTTGACTTCGAGTCACATGAGCATTCACTTCATCTCGAATTCAGAGGATTTCTTCTTCGAACTCGTTAATATCGAGTTAATTTCATGACCATGAACTGAAAATCCATTTTAATTTGCTCTTCAGTTGTATAATATTGGTATACGTCTCACAACTGCAAGTACAAAAAAAATATTTCGATTTTGTTGAAACTGATAGACCATCATCTCGTGAAATTAAAGAAACATGAAATTTTTGCAGCAGGTTCGTTTCCTGACGTTAAGTGGTAATGGTACCCTTCTTCCATATGTTGAATTTTAGAATTATTCTCATATCCATAAGTATTAATTTCTGAAAACCAAAAAACTTCAATCACTCTATTACTATATTGTGCAGGGCCTCACGTTTTTTGGTTTTCAAAAAATTAGTAACTATGGACACGAGGACTATTCTAAAACTCAACACACGCAAGGGGTACCATTATCTCTCAACACCCACTAAGAAAAGATATTTGGAAATTCATCCGCTCGGCATAGAAAAGGAAATAATGTCCACATTTATTAAATGGGAATTTTAAAACTACTGAACTTTAGGAAAATTCGTATTCAGAATTAAAATTAATGAATACGTGTTTCGTATTCGTATTTAAAATCAATCCTTGCCGGTGCTAAGTAAAAAGTTTTACTTAGTTCTATATAATTTCCACAACTTCGAAGATTTCTAGAACTTCCTAGAAAATTATCGAATGTTGCTTAAAGTAGAATTCTGATTGGCCTAAGGATTAAATCTGGAAACTTCGAAACCTTTCAATAAAACTTCCGAGTTTTTAAAAACAGCCATAAGACGTATTCTTTCCATTTTCGTTATGACAATTTTACGACTTCAATGAGCCTTTAAATGAAGATTTGCTACTTTGATAGAGCGATTTAGTTGCTGTTAACAAATGGCTAATGTCGTCATTCGGTAATAGTTTAGGAATGAACTGGATAGTTAAGAAGCCCTATTAACAGTACGAACAGCACTTCATTTAAACAGCCCCCCACCCTGCCATACCCTTAATGTGAGACCACTCTGAGAATCTTATGTGTGTATTAGCCGCGCAGATACAGCCACTTCAAATTTTTAATTTTGTTTTTTTTTTCATCAATTTCTATTCCGGCAACATTCTACCTGCAGTCAATCAGACGCCAATAAATAAATGCAGATGGAATTTTTCTACCGTGGTCGAAAATGGAACTCTAATTACGTGTTAACGACTAATTTGATCTCTAATTTTGACATTAGGTTGAGATATTGAAGTTCTCATTCACATTTCCATGGTTGTTCTCTTCCCAGAAATTCCATGAGTATTTCAGTACTGGAGTGGTATAACACAACGAATTGATTTATCATTTCTTGTCAAATATGAAACGATTCATATTTTTCAGTAGATATGTTTATTTGGCGTGCATTATGATTATCTATTATTCAAATTGTGCTTAATGGACTCAATATACGAAAATTGTCGGGGTATTTTTTTGGAGCATATTCTTCATTTTTCTTTAGAAATGTAAAATAATAGTTTTCTTGAGAAACTTTCACGTTCAGAATTTTCCCACTAATAATGGATAATTATCGTGTATTGCCTTCCAAAATTCCATCAGATGATACTGCCGGTTGCACCAAGCCGTGTTAGCCAAATAAATCGTCGTAATAAATTTATATCTGTACTAAATGTATTCCATAGTTGGATAATTTTAGGAATTCGTCGTAGAGCGCTTTCATTTTAGTCCATATGCTGGGGGTGAAAAGGTACGCACAATGACGTCCATGGGTCAAGTTTGTTTTTTCTGTTTTTTGGGTCGTAGAATCCAAATTTGTTTGTTGGCCAACGCTCAAGTGATGCATTCAAAATTTATTAACCCGTCAGCACTCCCGCCATTTCACCGAGAACCTTTAGGGCGCGTTTCGCAATCGACTTAGTAGCAGTAGCAGTACTGTAACCCTATCTAATTTCGCTTTACTGCAGCTACAGTAGTTGATTCCGAAACGCACCCTTAATCACGCAGAGAGGGAATCTCTGACGCATTGCGCGCTAGTTAGAAAGGTCCAAGCTATTCATGGGAATGGTTTAGTTACCGAGTATCACCGAATGCCTCACGGAACCGCTCGATGCGAGCGAGCCACACGCGCGTACGACTGACTCGACGAGACAAGCGGAGGGGCCTTCGGCTCGCGACTCGTGCCCCCGCGGCTTGTCTCGTCTCGTCTATCGCTCGGCTGCGCGTGTTCTACGACTCTCCCTAAAAACATTATCCCACTCGTATTAACATTCCCCCTTTTTCGGACTTGTAACGTAATATACCATTTTTCATCACGCTGTGCGAAACGCACATTCCCCCTTCCCCCCCTCCCAAACACAAAATTCCCCCTTTTTCACGTTTGTAACGTAATATACTATTTTTCATCACGCTGTGCGAAAAAGTAACTTTTTAGGCGCTTCGCGTGCCTAGAACGTCCCTTTTCCATACATTGTGATGAAAAGTATCGTTCGATACTCGTGGGAAAAGTGTTTTTCGGCTCGTGAGATTATATCACTCGCCTTCAACTCTTGCTATAAACCTCCCACGAGCCAAAAAACTCTTTTCCGCACTCGTAATGAAATATACTATTTTATAATTTAGTGAAACATGCTAGACGATTTTTATTGACCCCAGAGGAAAGAGGGATAGTTTCTTGAGGCAATTAAAAAGTTTTAGTCCAAAATCTCAATTTTTCGACTATGTTGCCTGTACCCTGAAAAATTTTACAAGAGAAAGTCATATAGCGCGAGTGCTGACGGGTCAACAATTGAATTGTTCAAATGGATATTGCTCTGCACCATTGAGTTGTGCAACAAAACAGTTTGAATGAAAAATGTCCGCCTTACCCGGGGCCGAATTGCCGATGCTGTTAAAGCGGCCAAGCCTCGGCCTAGAATCAGCATGCCAAGTCTTGGCAACCCACTCATGGCCAAACATCGGCTTTGGCTGGCATGCCAAGTCTCGGCGACTCCTTCACAGCCAAGTGTCGGCAGAACGTCAAATGGCCATTCGTCGAATCCCAAGTCTTGGCTAATAATTGGGTAAACTTCGGACGGCGAGACTTGATAAGGGTCAAACAGGAAAGACAAGTTTAACAATTTCAAGGGTTAAACTCTGGTCACTTTTTAACAGAGAAGCCGAGAGCAATATTCCAAAGGGCAAAACAAATCAATTAACAAATGAGATAGAGCAGTTGTTTATCGCGAGAGCGTGCACGGAGAAAAATAATTTTGTTGCAGTGCCGTCCCACCAGTCAGTGCAGCAAATTTCGTCTGTTGATATACGTCCAACGGACGCTGCAGTTACGCCCAAAATTTTATTTGTTACCATCTGATTTGTTGGGCTAGCAAGGACTATTTGCTAGGTCAACTGCTGCCACCTCTACTCAATTCAGCACGTGATTTTTGTTACCCGACAAAGAGTTTCTGTTCAAGTAGCAAATAGGGCCCCGTTGTAGTCAACCCTCTTCATTCTACAGTTTGTTACCCGAATATTTGATTTGTTGGCGCAAAGAAGGAATGACGGTTGCAACGAAGAATGTCATTTGTTGCGGTTACAGGTTTTTTCGTCGTCATGACATAAAATTTGTTCTGTATGCAAATGGAATTTTGTTGCAATAACAAAACCATTTTGCTGCTCCAAAAGTAACCCTTCTGTTGCCCTAAAATTCAGATTTTTTGCGGCAGCAAATTATATTTGGATTGAAAAAGGATTGATTTCATTACAATAAAAGCTATTAATTTCAATTTATTCCTTTTATTAAATCAATGCAATATTCCATAATCTAAAATAATATCTATCAGGTTTTTCTATGTACACAACATTGACGGTATTCAAATTTCGTATCTTAAAATTACATATTTCTTTCCATCAGCCATAGTATGTGCATAGACTGGCAGAGGGTCAAGTAAATCTTGAAGTTTGACACATACTTTTTCCTGAGTTTCTTTCACTTTATGCGCACCTACGTGGCTATAAGCGCCTAAATTATCGTAGTAATTACAAATAAAACAAAAAGTATTTAGTGTATCATCGAAAATAAGAATCCTTTCGATTTTTCCAAAAACAAGTAAGAAATCATCGCTGTGGGTATCTAGAACCAGTGCCATGCCAGGTTTGAATATGGTGCCTTGATATTCAATCCAATTCGCAACAAAATATTGTTTCATTGATTGTAAGTCTGTGGGAAGATTATAATAAGGATCATGATGATTGCATTCCAGCAAATCGCCAGGGCCAGTTTGAAGTGAAGGTGTGATTTTTTCATTTGCCAGAAACTTGTAGCATAAGGAAATTTGATGTTTAATAGCTAGAGAATGGCAAATATTTACACGTGACATATTGACTGAAGCCGAACCGGTTAAATCAAGATGTTTTGCTTGAAAACGAATCGATGATAAATGCGCAGGCGGACCGCTTTGGTTGAATACGTCAGCTGAATGTTGCAGTATATAGTCTTTTGGTTTCAAAGTATCTCCCGTTGATTCCATATATAATAATTGATATTGTTCAATCAACACTTTGATTCGTTGTCCTGTGTTCCTGGGTAGTGTTTTTGCAAGTGTATATTCCAATATGTCTCGTAAGAGATGATACAATCGCCAGAAAGGATTATCAAATTGAACAAGGTCACCGATAATTACCCCAAAAAGCCGAATGGGTGTGGACATTTCTGAAGCAGTTGATTTTATTTTATTATTCTTCAAATCTTGATTATTTATCGAGTGGTCGGTTGGAGCAATCAATGAAGCCATAATTGAACATCAAAATTCGATTATTCAATGCATCGAGATCAAACTCTTTATATCGACCAGATGTTAGATCTGTTATGATTTTAGCCATACCGCGAGGAGCTATACCTTCTCGAACATCATGCATTTTATCATGCGCGTCATTGACCGTGATGTGATGCGAGGGAACTAGATTAATACTGCAACTTTTTTTAATCCCGGTCTTCTTGTAATCATCAGTGAGATCTTGGTTATAGCTTTGTTCATCACGCAATAACTCTGGTATTAGAGAAGTCATATGTTCACTATCTTTTTTCATTATCTTACAAAATCTACAAAAATTCGTGCAAATAAATGATTCGACGAAGCCAAAGAGACTATTAATTCCAAGATTGTCTCCCAAAAACAAACCCGTTGCAAAAAAACGTGTCGTGATCCCTGAGTTGTATTGATGGTAATCCCTGTTTTTTCGAGGAACGTTAGTTCCTCAATGAGTGGTTTTAATACTTTGTCATTACCGTATTTCTTTCTCGTCCAACTTTCGAACAACAGGACGAGAAAGTGATTTTCTAACATTGAGCGACAGTCGGGTGGTAAATAAGGGATAGATGCATAAACGGCCCCAACTGATCCGGGATGGGTTCCACAGGCTTATTAACCTCAGCATCATCGAAAAAAAGAAAGTGGCAAAACAATATCTTGTTCTTGATACGAGAATTTTTTTTTCCATAATTCACACTGAGTAAAATTTTCTACACATGAATCCGAATCCAGACTATTTATGTAAGATAAAGTTGCTTCCAATGCATCCGGTGCCTCGAAGTATTTTTTTAGACAACTCCGCAGAGGTATAGATTGACCGATGGCTTTTAGGGTCTTCTCCAAAACATTATTTGCTGAGTTCGATTGAGGCCCTTTCTCTTGTCCAATGACGTAAGGAATCGGAGCAATAAAATTCCCTGGTTCCCTGAAATTTGAATCGATAATATTCTGTTTTGAAATTCACGAATGGATCTGCCAATCTTGCAAACATGTTGTCTATTCCTCTTTTAGAATCATCAGGAATACTGTTCCTTTCTAAAACTGTTTCAACTTTATTTCGGATAATGTCAAAAAAACTGTTCCCAAAAAAAAATTTTTAGATCATCGATTATTTTCTGCACAAAATTACGCGGCAAACGTTTCTCACTGTACAATTTTGCTACAAATATTTCTGATGCTGAATCTAGAGCAGACGAAAAATCATCTAATGAAGAAGAAAAATCGATTGGAAACTCAGTGGATTCGGATGCTGAACAATTTATGGTAAAAACGTTTCACCGAGTACATCCCTAACCTCAGGCGTATGAGAAGAATTGTAAATATCTTGAGAAACTTTTGGACACTCTAACGGCAATTTGTGAAATGATAGAAGATGTTTACGGAATGGATCTTTGTGATGGAAAGATCTGAGAATAGGCCCCCAGTTGTCCTCACCGCAAGTGTACCCTTCGACCACCATGGCCCTGTGACATGCTGAAATATGTCTGAAAAGACTACGAATGGATGGCACAATCGCCCTACAGATCTTACACTTTGCCATTATTATATACTTTTTTTATTGCGAATTAATACGCGCTTTTTTTAATTCTGCGATCAAGGTTTCAACGTTATTAAAACGAAAATCGTATTTTTTCTGGAATGGGAGATCGTAAACTGCTCTTTGGAAAAATTGAAAGATCTGTGCTGACTGAAATGAATAATGAGCGTGTAAAGCGTGTACGTATTTGAACACTACGTTCAGTGCTTTCAATGGCGTTTCGACCTCGTAACGATGTGTTCTATCCAACACGATAAAATTTTGCTCAATTTGATCATATGATGGCCCTACGATCAGTACGAATGGTTGCAATTGGCAGTTGTGGATAGCCAAATTCTTCACCCTCTCGTTCAATTTGAGTTCCAAGTCACCAATTACCTAGAAGTTTTCAGAAAAAGTATTGCTCTACGATTGACACACAACCAACTGAATTGAAAAACTTATTTACATTTATTTACCTTCACGTACATCACGAAACCATCCAGCATTTCCTTTAGGGTTGGTCACCAATTATTAATTGTAGAATTTTGCTTCGTTGCTCTGCTCACGCCAAAGTAGTTTGTGCACCTAAACACGAAAAAAGTTGAGTCAGCATTTGGACAGTTCGCAAGGCTTGTCAACTGGACAATTTACCACTTGAGAAAGAATGAAATAATATGAATATCTCACTTGGATCTAATACTTTTCTCAAATCCGTTCCGATTGTTGTTTCCGATAGTAATTCGATTATGAAGGCTTTGACAACTGGCCATTCAGTAAACATCTTACCGGATTTATTTGGATAAATTCGATCGAAATCTCGTTCCAACTGAAAAAATTGAAGAGATTAAAGACAAGACTGTTTGGTAAAAGAGGTTCTGCAAGTTGCTGTCTTGAATGTTCGACATTTACCAGTGTATAAGCCAAATCATTGTCGAACGTTGAATATGCATTTAAATAATCTGTCACAGTCCCTTCACAGTGAAGTAATTTCTCTCGCCTCACTTCACTGGATTCACCCCAATAGCTCACAACTTTAGCCCATGGTTGTGAATTATTTTGCAACCAGCAATCATTTGTCTTAGCTTCCTCAGTCTGTGGCGGAATGATTTCTTCTGTAGAATGAGAACGAAAAATAAAATCAGATTTGTTGAAGATTTGTCTGATTGGGACGCTGAAGTATGACTAATGCCTCTGTTAGGTATTTCTTGGCACTGAGTATTTGTTGGAAGGAGAGGGGGGCAGGAAGACTGTCCATATTGTCTTTGGGTTTGTTGGGACTCTGGCGCCCTTTCCTTCCACCAGAAATTAAACCTCTGTCTCGATGATGATGGCGAAGATTGGTCCACCTCTGGTACAATTTTCCTCTTCCTGTTATAAACCTCCCACGTTTGTTCGTCAAAATCCATGTCACCTGTAAATAAAGTGTGCACCGAATTTCCTAGATTACTCGAGTAATGTATTATAATGATTGTTCAAAATTTTATAGATGAGCGAAGAGGCTCATACATGCCAAGACCTCGGACGGAAATTCTTTGATGATGGCATTTCCAAGTGCAATGAATCGGCTAGGAGTTATACTACAATTTATTATGGTATATATAAATCACGAGAATATTGAAATTTTTTCCACAATGAAAGAAATTTACCGTTTATCCAAGTCCTCCCCCAATTCGAAAGCGATGACAGTGTCTGCAATCTTATCACGATGAGTATCTCGCGATTTCTTTTTCGTTTTGTAATCCTGAACAATTGATGATCTGCCGCTTGAGGTCAAAATTTCTTCTACATCCTACATAAAGATTCAGTAATTATAAATATTTTTCGTTGTTTTCTATTATATGATGCAGAAGTCCATATGATAGATGCCATTTAGTATCTATTTTTGGGATACGGGTGCATTCGGTATTTTTTTCATGTTTTTCGGTGCGTAGGATCCTAATTTGATGGTCGTTATGCCGACAACCGATGCAAAAAAAATAGCACCGATGTAAGGATAGGAAAAAATAGTTTCAATGAAAAATGTTTTTCATTTCAAGCTAAAAGTGATTGCTTTTATGCATTTTTCCCCTAATCCAATTATTTTCGGAGATATTGAGGGTCAAAAGAATCATGCAGTTTTGTAACGCATGGCCTAGAAGGGTCACGCAGGGTACAATGTCGTAGGCATTCGCACGTGAAATTTGGCATTCGAATATCTCGGGAAATAATCCCAATATGAAAAAAATGCATATATTTGAAGATGTTTAGATTGATCAGAAGAACATTTTTCATTTCAACTATTTTTTATCACCTTAGATGGTTTTATTATTAATAACTATTTTTTTGCATCAGTTCTCGGGGAAACGACCTTCAAATTTGAATTCTAAGCACCAAAAAAGAATAATTCCTGCAAATTTAGATTTGTACATTCATTTACCATTCACTATCTCTATTATATCCATTTCCAGTAGAGGTGGAGGTATTGAAGGTGGTGGCGTCTGAGATATTTTCTCTCTCTCGCTCCCATTCGATTCTGCGGGGCTGGTTGAAGACTTGCTTTCTTCTGTATCATGACTCTTTTTACAATATTTGTGTTCATGTTTTAATTTGAAACGTAGTTGATCACCAAGAGCCGGAAAAAGTTGGGCAATGATGGCATCATTGAGAAACGGGAAAACATCCATGTCAATTTTTGCATCTGTGAAAGTATAAAAGAAATCCTCAATCAAAATTGAAAAAATAAAGAAGCCATATAACAATGAGCCTGATGAGAAATGGACGGCCTCTTTATACAATGACTGAGATAAAATTTGAAATTTTTTAGATTCTAATCTCCATATTTGTGATTTTTATAAAAAAATACTGTAATTTTTCCTTGACTTGTTTTTTAAACTATAGAGTTTAGGGGAAAATACTTGCGATACAACTATGCTCCAAGATTCCTATAATTAAGGGTTGAATTTTACTGAAAATATTTCTCCATGCCATCATCAAAAAATATTCACAGGAAAACATGGAGCGTTGATTATTCTCGAGGCTTTAACACCTGATGTATTGTAACACATGATTTGTCCCAATGCATAATCACCTTTAGTCGCTTCTCGAACTTAGATCACATGATATCCGTTTTATTTTTTAATTTTCACTCACCTCTAAATTTTTGAATAACAGCATCACTATAATCCCACTCTATTAAAGTTTTGGAAAGTTCATCTGGTATTAACTCTATTGAGTGAGTCATTGTTATTCACTTTTGTTTTTATCACGATATCACTTAAAAATTTCGAAAACACGTCCGATGCTCCACTACAATGTGTCCACTATGGCAGTCTACGACAGAATGCCGGGAAATTTAACGAACATTCCTGGGTGCATGTGTTTTGGCTTAGTTTATTGGAAAAACCGGCCTGAAGTTGTAAAACAGAGAAAAGAAAGAGAAAGGCCTTATGTTCCAAAGAACTCTTTCTAACCCACGCCAGCGGCCTGGCCTGAGGCTTCAGCCCATCCTTTGTACTTGACCTTTATTTACGATGGGAAACCCCCAGCAAACTTACCAGTGAGTACCCCCATTGTACCCCTCGGTTTTATTACTTTTTTTCGATCAGTGGTAAGTCTATTCAGTGTCGTCTTTCCTGTAAATTTTCAAATGCTTCATTTTCTATTATTTTGGGATGAACTCAATTTAGTTTTCTTCCACCTTCCATTGTTGTTTGTCCCTTTTGCAATTCTGAGTAATTCCATTTCACAGAAACCGTATATATTTTTTCACCTTTCTTTCAACTTTATTTTACATTCCCACTATAATCTTTGAATCATTCGATTATTCCACTGAAAAAAATGAGAATTTCGAAATTCGTTGAAGTAAAATTGATGATCCAATATCTAAATATATTTCAGTGTTCACGTTACATGTATGTGAACTCAATCGTAAAATTAATATATCATTTCATTGCCCTCCAATGAATTTATGTTTGGACCACGCAGAGTGTTCAACGAATTTTATAAATCATTTTTATCTTAATTTTTTCATTAGATGGATGGAACTATAAATAATTAAATGAAATAATGATATAGTAATAAAAAAAAATTACGATTTTTTGTTCCGTTCATTATTTCATACAAAAAATCGTAATTTTTTTTTATTACTATATCATTTAATTGTTTATATTTTTAATTTATTTAATAGGGAAATTTATTCGTTCGGATATTTTTTATGTTCACTCCACCTCAGTTATTTATTGTAAGAACACAATAAAAGTTCATGCCATAAATTAATTTTCAGTATAATATCTAGGTACGATAAATAAACCATTTGTTATTGTTACAAATCAAACGGTAACAAACAATATCATGTTGTATCAACGCAATTGGTTTTTTACTTCCGAAGGGAAGCATTGTATTCCTCCGAATTTAAGTTACCAGTTTTCTTCGTGAAGATGACTAATTTGGGGGTCAGGAGTCCCAATCTGATATTTTTAGACCCTGTCTGTATGTATGTATGTATGTGCGTGTGTATGTGTGTATGTGACCGATTCAGTTTTTTCACGATAACTTCAAAAATAATTACCTGAATCAATCGAATCTGGGCTAGAAATATGCGTTTTTATGTTATACAGACCGAGTTCGAAGATAGTGTCGATTGCGCTTTTAGTTTTTGAATTATTCTCAAAAATTTGGCCAAAGGTTGGCGCAATGTTGGTGCAATGTTGGCGCAAGGTTGGCATACGGTAGGCCATTATGGGAGTCTTATGGGGGTTTATGGCGGTCTTATGGGGTGCTTGTGGGTGTTTTATGGGGGACTTACGGGGATTTATGGGGTCCATATGGGGGTTTATGAGGGTCTTATGGGAGTCTTATGGGAGTTTATGAGGGTCATATGAGGGGGTTGCTAGAGAGGATTTCTAGGGGGATTGTTAGGGGAGGTTGCTAGGAGGGTTGCTATGGGTAGCGTCCCCTGATCTTTCAGCGACGCCTGAATATGAGGGTCTTATGAGAGTATTATGGGGGTCATAGAGGTGATAAGGATAATGAAAGTCTTATAGGGACGTATATCATCAGTTAATGGCAAAGTGCAATGAAAAGACAATATCCGTTCGGAAGCATATTGCTAATTCATTAGCAAAAACAGGCACCATAATTGACACAATTGAAAGTAATTGCCCACTTGTTTTGTACAACATACAATTTGTAGAGTTAACATATTAGATCCTACATAAAATCTTCTGTAGTGGAAAACCCTCAGACTTTGTCAGTGCTGCCAATATCTATGTGCCTGGCACAGAACCTCTGCTATCCGAACAAATCAGACCGCAACAAATCAAATTTTGTTACCGTGACATTTCTATTTTTCTCCGTGTGCGCACGCTCGCATACTTTTAGGACTTCCAATTTTTTCCCCCCATATATTCATTATTAGTGTGACAATACATATATATTTTCTATTAATTCTATTAATTCTTGAGAAAAAATAAATAAAGAGAAATGAGGGGTGAGTTTTAACTCTTGTCGACCATACGTCGAAGAAATCGAATTTCTTTTATCTCGTCTTATTTTTTCGATGTCTAATTCTTGGTATCAGAGCTGACTGCATGAGCTTGCCTTTCTGAAAAACCAAAATACTCGAACAAAACATTGATTTGACTATGACTATGTCAGTACTATGCATTTTCACATTTTACGAGCATTCTTTGTAACGCGGGAACAAATCGTAAAAACCCCAAAGGGTATACGAGAGAAAATCATTTTTTTTACTTCTGGATTGTGTAAAAACATTTTTAATAATAACAAATGACATATCTTTATTCATCTCGAGAGTTTGTTATTTTTCACTCAGTTTCGCTTATCCAACCTTTTTTGTTGTACAACTCAATGGTGCAAAGCAATACCCATTTGAACCATTCAATTGTTTATAACTTTCGAATACAAACAGATCTGGATTCTAGGACCCAAAAAACAGAAAAAAATTAACTGGACCTCATAGTGCATACCTTTTCACCCCCAGCGTATGGATTTTTCAGCTATGCTGATACATCAATACACCACGTTTTTTGGTGAAATACCCTCAATGGACTTTCGATCGAATTGATTGGCAGATTATTTTCATTTATTCCGGTCTTAAAGCCCTGTTCCATTATCTGCCGAACGTTATTTACATTGATTTTTTTGTTT